TAAGGGAGACATGATTACAGTCTTCCAATACCTCAGGGGCTGCCACAAAGAAGAGGGAGTCAAACTATTCTTCAAATCACCTGAGGGCAGGATAAGAAGCAATGGGTGGAAACTAATCAAGGAGAGAAGAAACCTAGAGCTAAGAAGAAATTTCCTAACAGAACAATTAATCAATGGAACAATTTGCCTCCAGAAGTTGTGAATGCTCCAACACTGGAAGTTTTTAACAAGAGATTAGACAACCATTTGTCTGAAGTGGTGTAGGGTTTCCTGTCTGAGCAGGGGGTTGGACTGGAAGACCTCCAAAGTCCCTTCCAACTCTGTTATTCTATTCTAAAAATTAAGATTTTTTTTGCTTGACTTTAAGTCTGGAAACCTGGTCTCTGAATATGCAGAGATAACAGCTGCAATCTCTTTGCTAGTAAATGTGCCTGCCTGGGAAGCAGCATACGGTTTGTTAAAGAGCAACAGGTGAGGTGGAATGTAAGCTATCACCCCATGTGTGCTCATTAACCCATTGCAGAGGCTTAACATTTAAACAGACATCCAAGGAATATTAAACCACAATCTGGCTTTTTTCAATGAGGTGTTGTAACCCAAAGGCCTTCTGAGTCTTCCTCCCACCCCCTCTCCAATTACCATGTTCACTGCTGCTCAAACTAATGTTCGGTCAGCAAAAGTGTGTAATCAGCTTGTTCAGTTGAGATGTGTTAAAAAGTAACTATGCTGGAAGAAGCAGAAGTAGTTAAGGAGCCAGTGGGGAGGAAATGAAAAAAACTGGACTTGTGAACTCACTCCAGCCATTACAGGTTGGTTCCCCTTGGACGTGTGTTCCTGACTCTAGGGGGCAGTGCTCATCTCCGTTTCAAAGCCAGAGCCAATGCTGTCTGAAGACGTCTCCGTGATCATGTGGCTGGCATAATTAAATGCCAAAGGCACACAGAATGCTGTTACCTTCCCACCAAAGGTGGTTCCTATTTTCCTACTTGCATTTTTACATGCTTTCGAACTGCTAGGTTGGCAGAAGCTGGGACAAGTAACAGGAGCTCACTCCATTACACAGCACTAGGTATACGAACCACCGAACTGCCGACCTTTCTGATCTACAAGCTCAGTGTCTTAGCCACTGAGCCACCACATCCCTCCAGCCGTCACAGAAACCTTTCCCAAGGTGGCGTCCTCCAGACAGATTTCTCTCAATATTTCCTGCAACATCACTGGGCTATTTGTCACGGCAGAGATTCTAGGGCAACACCTGTCTTTCCCAACAAGGTCACTTTGTACCACTGACCTCTCCTTGGGCTGCTTTCCCAGGATGGGCTCCAGGCCAGAGATGGTGCGAGAAGTCAGATGGCCTGTTCTAATTCCTTCCCCAGCAATGGCCTTTAAACTGTTCCACATTAACCAGCTGTAGAAAGATTTTTTTGTTGTTGTTCTTGGGACCCACATTCATCTGACTCAGCATGCTGGTTTGCATTTAAAACTATACTTCTGCATTTGGAGTGTAAGCTTTAGCTGTGCAGGATCAAGGTTTTATGGAGTCTCTTCTTATGCAGGGAGGATGCCCTGAGTTTTCATGAAGCTGGAGTAGCTCTAAGTAATAGGGTTCTTTTTCTGCATTGTAGAAGAAAGCAAGAAATTTTGAACCAGTATCCCAGTGGTGGGTTCCGGATCCCATTCCAACCAGTACGGTTGGAACGGGCCCGGCGGCAACCACATGGATGTGTGCAGTGCGCGCATGCATCCTAGCACCTCTGTGAGCCTCCGCGACACTCCAGCTTCTCAGCGGAGCGTCACACAGAAGCTGTATTTACCGTGCGCCTTGTGTAGAAGCGCCAAAGACTTAAAAGACTGGTGAGGAACTCAGGTGGGCCCTCCAGAGCACCGTACTGGATTGGTATCCGGTACTCTGGGCAGGCTCCGGTACGCCCATACCGGGGCGTACCGCCTGCAACCCACTACTAGAGTGTCCTTTTAGTGAGCCCAGTAAGCGGTTCAGTCCAATAGTTAGCTCCAGTTTTTCAAAGTAGAGACTTCAATTAAACCAGATTGTCCCACCTGATGAGACAATATTCCATAACAGGCAAAGTAAGAATTCCTTATAAAGAAAACACCTAGAAGTTGGTTCAAATGTAAGCTGACTTTCTCCACTGTCTATCAAGGAGAAAAAAGTAGAATTTTGATTGTACCATGGTCACCACCATTTGACTTTTCTGACCATACCCCGGTCAACTCAAGTAAATGTTTAGGGTCAGCCACATTCTAAGCGGTCTTGGCAAACCTTTTCAGCACTGAGTGTAAGTTTTTGCAAGTTTGCAAGTTTAATAACATTTATATGCCGCCCAATCTCGTAGGACTCCAAGCGGCTTACAGTACAGAAATAAATAAATAAAAATACAGAGAAAAAAAGATAGATTTAAAACAAGATAAGAGTGCCAAAACAGGAGTGCATGTGTGGGTGCCCAAAACTGGAAGAGCAGGCGCTTGGTGCACATGCATATGGCGGGAAGATGATCTTCCGGTTTCCAGTGTGTGTGTGTGCAACGGCCATTTGGCCTTCCAGTTTCTGGCACACATGCGCGTGCAAAGACCAGGTGGCCCGTGTGCTTGTGCATGCCAGAAACTGGAAGAGCAGTTACCCAGTGCATATGTGCTTGCTGGGAACATGATCTTCCGGTTTCTGGCATGCACATGCTCACTGGCCACCTGGTAGCAATAGCAATAGCAATAGACTTATATACCGCTTCATAGGGCTTTCAGCCCTC